TCGTGAGAAAACTTGTGAAACTGTTCTCAAATATCTGGGAAATTTAATGTGTACCCCACACATGGGAACAGTCGATTGTTACACCCATCTACAAGAAGGCCTCTCGCAAAGCTTATTCCAACCACGGAGGCGTAAGTATCATTCCAAAGCTCTTAGCGTCCCTTGTAATACGCAGACTGAACCCATTTCGCGAAAGATAAATCCGCGAGGAGTAGGCCGGGTTTCGTGCACAACGTGGCTGCATAGATCAAATCTTCACTCTCCATCAGCTATTGGAACACCGCCATGCATACAGACGGCAAACCATCGTCGTATTTTTGGACATCTGTGCAGCCTTCGACGCCATCGATTGCCCCTCACTGTGGAACTGTTTGCAGAGATACGAATTACTCGAGATGTATGTTTCACTCCCAAAAGCGCTCTATCACCAGACCTCGAAGAAAGTTAGGGCCTATGGTGCACTTTCACCCTCATTTCCTGTCAACAGTGGGATACGACAGGGTTGCTCTTTCTCTCCGTTTCCTCTTCAACTTTGCCGTATATGTTCTACAAAACGCATTATATAACGTAACGAACGCTGGCGTCGAGCTTCTTCTTGGAGACAGAGTCGTAGCCTTAGAGTATGCCGATGATATTGCTATACTTGGTGACAACGCATCGACGATTCCAAGCTCTGAATCGTTTGGCAATTGAAGTTATTCGTTGTGGCAAGTCCTTTGCACCTTCAAAGTGCAAGGTATTGTTGCAAGATTCAGAGGAACCCGCTCCTGCACATTCATTGGGAAGTAGTCAAAAGATTTGTCTATCTTGGGAGTTGCATAATGGCTGGCAGAGGTGTGAGTGGGATCTCTCAACGCTTAATCAAAGCTAGATTAGTTTTGAGAAAACTGAGGCAATCCTTTCCCCAGATGAATTTTAATACAGCCACAGATCCCAGATCCTGATGGGCTGTGCAGATTACCAAAGAACGATGGAGTGCATCCTCAATGATACTAGCAAATTTTGACGAGCAAAGACATGTGATGACCCAAAAGAACTGGAGAGGGAATTTGCCCCAGAAGTTCGGTTCTTGATGGAAGGATATTCCATTGAAAAGAACACCGCCCAGGCTCTAAAGACTACAGGAACTCAAATTCCACAACTTTATGGCCTGCCAAATCTCCACAAGCCAACCTTGCAACTGAGACCAATCCTATCCATGACGAACTCACTCACCGTAGCACAAAAAAAGCCACATGGCTGGTCAAGGTGTTAGAACTAGCCATAGATCAGTGGTAAAAATTACCGTCAAGGAGTTTTCAATTGGTCGACGTTTTGGATGGGATAAAAATTTAAGGGAAACACTTCATTCGATGTACCATTCCTATTTACTGATGTCCCAGTTCCTGAAGTCATAAAAATCATTTACGATCATATAGAGTATGATCAGATCCAAGGGAGTCTACCGGTGTTAATCCTTCGGCGTCTATTACTACTCTGCACAACCAACGTGTCTTTTACTTTCAAAGAAATAGGTACAGGCAAATGGATGGTGTCGCTATAGACGGCCCGCTAGTCACAGTCCTGGCAGAATTGTTTATGGCACATCTCGAATAAAATTCTGGAACGTGCCATCCTATACAAACGACACCCTTGTTATTACAGAAAACCTACAAGCTACAGTAATTCTGGATGAAATTTATAGATTACATCCAAGTATCCGGTCCACAATGGAATCCGGAGCCAACACACTAAATTTCCTTGACATCAACGTGAGACGAACAAAAGATGGAACAGTTGCCCGATCCATTTACCGAAAGGAGACCTGGACAGGCCAATATTCACACTTCGAGACCTTTATGCCTCTGGAGTATAAGCGCGGTCTTCGGACGTTATTTGACAGAACGAGAGGGATCTGTACGAAGACAGAATTGGGCGAGAACTACAAAACCTTCGGGAGATGCTAGCAAAGAACGCTTAACCCGAAACGTTCGTAAATAACCACAGCAAACAAAGGATTGAAAAAGAAACGGTTGCGTCAGGTCCAAAATTACGAGTCACGTTGTGCCTTCAGTTCAAAGGTGATGACGTAAACTGTTTGCTCAAAAAACGACTGGGGTCGGCAATTGCTCGAACCTTCTATTCAGCTGACCCCAAAAACGTCTATCGGACAGCCAGAACACTCATACCCCCAGGCAAAAGAACATCTGCCTCTGTATGCCAACTCTAATCTGATCTGCCAATTCCAATGTGAGGGCCCAGCGACCTGCGCGGGCAAAACAGAGCGACAATTACGTAACCGGGTGGTTGAACATATTCCAAATTGGGTCCAAAGTCAGATGACGCAATCGAGGTCAACTCCGTAGCATAGAAGCAGCGGTCGAACCTTCAACTTATCAACCAGTGCTCGACATCTTCTGATGACGCAACACCAGATTGACCGAAGTATGGCGTTTCGGGTTCTCTACAAGTCAGGAATCGCAAGATTTCTAAGGTTTGCAGAAGCGAATGTTATCAACCAATGAAAGCCCCCCTTGTGTCAACAAAAGAACTTCGTTACTTTGTCCTTACCCTGACATGATCCTTTTACTCCTACCCTCTTTTATGTTTGTCTGTTTTAATGTATTTCAATTTTCTGTGTGGCCATGCTAAAGCCCAATATAAACATTGTGTTTTCTGCAGTACCATGTTGAGATCCAGCGAAATCGTCCTGGAAATAAATCGTGCAGTATTGCGATATGGTCTTTTCTTTTCAAGTTAGATTAGCGTTTGTTAATCTACGGTGCCGGCGCAACACATCCCTTTCGGTGGAACGGCGTGTGTAGTGCGCCACGGTACTCGCCGTGTTGTTCTATGGCTGCGAAATCTGACCTCCCCGAGCAGATCATGTTCAACTTCTATCCGTCTTCGACAACCACGTATGGTGGGAGCATCGCGTAAATAACGATGAGGTCAGACGATGTGTGTTAGGATCGGATAGTTTTTCATTGAGTAGAACCATTTCAATGCATCGTCTTAGGTGACCGGGGCACGTCCTGCAAATGCCTGAATAGCGTTACCACGCCGTGTGCTATTTGCAGACACCGGTCTGGGCTGTAAGAAACAACGAAGTAGTCAGGCTATGACGTGGCGTGCGAGGCTGAAGATATTGTGCTCGGATTTGACTTCCGTCGGGTCTTCCCGGCTGGAGCCCCAGAGATTCAGAATGCCTTTCATTGGGGACACTGCAGGATAGGCATCGAACTGAAGTCAATGGTGTGAATGCATCTTTTTGCATGAGATCCGAAAAGTAAAACAAACAAGAAAGTCAAAATAGAGTGCAGTAAACACACAAGACAATTTGTTATCCCAATATTTGACTATTTTTGTTTTCTCTTTTTTGTCTCTATATTTCGCGTTCAAGCCATGGTTATTTTGGCGCCGTATTTGTAAAGATTGGTGTTAAATATAATACAAGGTCACACTACGCCGCTTCTTCCCCAACCATCCATGAGAATATGAATGATTACTGAATCCAACTCTAACAGGCCACTCCCTGCAACGACCGCCTCACATACTAAATTTGTTCATTTCACCAGCGTTTGCAAGTGTATTGGAGGAACTGAGGGAGCATTGCCTACTAGGTTCTCAGAACAAACCGAAGGGGAACTTCATACTATAAGGCTGCCACAGAGATCCTCGTTAATGACCGGTGACTTCGCATGAATTTTGCCAAGTCAGAGGTTCGCTGATATCTAAAAGCTTGTCATTGATCTGATCGGACTTTCACATGGATGTTGGTATATGGCTAATGATAGAAAGCGAAACAGTTGCATTAATTCTGTTCTTCCGATGAAGTTTGTTCTTGGTCTAATGAAAAAAAAACGGGGAACAGCCTTAAGTGCGTGAACACATTATGAGAAGGAAGACAGGCACTGAGCAGTAAACCGCTTTTATTAGACCTTAGATGGACTCGGAATACGGGGGCAGAAATCGTATCTATACACATACAATGCACGAATCAAGCAAGATGGCGCAAGAGACAAGCAGATGAAGATAATGGGAGGCAAAACAAAACGGAATGAAGGATTCGAGGATAGATACTCAATATTATCAGAGTAAATGGAAAAATTGCTTCAAAACCCCCATTTCGTGATCAGAAGAGAAGGGAATTCCACCGAACGAGGCGAGAGCGGGAGGGGGCAAATACCATGGAAATCACATATGTTACAGATGGATCGCCTCAAAGAAAAGATAAAATTGCAGAAAAAGATGAGATGGGAAATTTTCCGACGCATAATCAACATGGGTAATGCATGCACAAGTCAGTAATGTTGAGAGGAGAGACAGTGTGTATGATGGAGGATTATACACTTGAGGAAATCTTGAAGAGTGATGGTGCTTATATTATTCTTATCTTAGTGGTGGGTAATCCAAATATACCTTGAAACCATGTTTTTCAACTAGTGAGGCGCATTAACCGGTCAATTTGATGAGGCTCATTTATCACAAACATCAAATAAGGGAGCGATGGATACAGCGGGTGTGAGAGGGGACAGAAAAACCAATGTAAATATCCCGGGGATGGTGCTTCAAGGGTGCGGGGGGGGGCATTTCAATGTCTACAGACAAGTGAGTGAAGCTCTTCACCGGGGGGGTGGTAAAGGATGTATGAAAGACCGATGGCGATAAAAGAATGAGTGAGAATGAATCAGGATGTGGTCCGAAAAGGAAGTGAAGCGTGCGAGATGGGTGTGAAAGTACTAGAAGTGCAGACGAATTCGGGTTAATCAAGTCAGCTGAATCAGTGACGGAATGTTTATTCATTTGGTAACGAGAGAAAAAAGAGAAGGAAAGTACTGGTAAAAAGTGATACCCTAGTGAGTGATTGAGTACTTGGATGAGAATATCTGACGGACTACACTGCTGAAACAAAACGGACAGGGCAATACTGATAATTCAATGAAGGGACGGAAAGGGAGCTGAATGAGATGGCAGATGATGGTTCGGGACGGATGAGGATCAACTACAGCCGGATCATCTCAACGATCTGTTACTGTTTCCGGACTGGGGCCAGATAGGTGAGCCTGGTGTAGCAGTGTGTTTGGTGATATCGGAGGAGCATCACCTTGTTCGACTGGTTGATGTTTTGTAGGTTCGATTTTCGAATTTTGTGTGGATGGTGAGGCGGAAATCGCCGGTTCTTCAGGCCCATTCTCTGGCAGGCTGTTTTGAACTGACGGATTATCAGGATCGTTTGTCTCCACGGCAGTGGCGTTTGCGGTTGCCGCAATGAAATCCACTTCAACCGGACGGAGACAAGATGGACAGACGAATGATCGCATGAGCCAGTCGTCAATACAAGTCCGATGATAGGTGTGTAAGCAGGGTAGATACCGGACTTCGTCGTGCAACTTCAAATCACACATGCAAATAATACACCTAAGACAGATGACAGAGATGTAGAGGATGTAGGTAAAAAAATCAAACGGAAGACAATCAATTCACACTTACATTGAAATTTTATTTTTTCCAACCTGAATGACTTTTTTAGGTCAGCTTTTGAGTCAGCACTTTTGTTGACAATTAAAAATACCAGCGTTGCTATCTTCTCCCTCCCCAGCCAAACATTTATTTTGACTGTTTTCTAGCCCTATTGCTTGTTTATTCCCAGCGATGTCTACTGAAAACAGTACGTATATTTACTAAAACCTGCATGACGACTGCTCACGATCATTACATGCCGTGACTAATATCATTTCACACTAGGTTAACTCAGTTATGGTGCACAAGCTCACATTTCGGGGTGGCCTTCACAGTCAGTTTTTGACAACTTTCACACTAGGGCCTAACCCAGTGGGGCCTTTGGTGGTTCGTCATTCGAAGTCCCGAGGAATAGGTTACTGGCTTCCATCGTGGAACAGCAGGTCCTCGTGACTATGGGGGTTACCTCGTCTGCTGTTCATCACACTAATGTGTGTAACAAAATATTTTTGTCCAACCGGTACCATGATCGCATTGGTCTGTCCGTTCCAGTTCAAGCACCATATCATATTTCAATCAACCTGGGGCTTATTCATTCTGCTTCAAAAGCTTACTTCACGATTTAATCACAGCAGGCCTCATGAACCCGTATGATAGTTTGATTCGAAGATCAATCGGGCAACCCGTCTGATGGTGAGCCATCGTATCTGACGAAGACCAACCACAGTATCATACGGCCGTTGCGAGCGTGAATGGACAAACCGCAAAACTTGTTCAGTCCAGTCCTCGACCATGAGGCAACTGGTGATATTCCCCCAGCGTAACCCTTGTCCAGTACTGGTTAACTGTGTCTACTACGCTCACTTGACTGCTCCCTGCAAATTTCATTCCTGTCTGTGTTGTGGTCATCATTAACATCATCTTGCAGCGGAATACAGTGAAGCGTACTTTATTGATCGATGTCAAACAGAATATACCGAAAATAAACACGAATGTGCAAAAAGTGTAGAGAAAGTGAACTTCTATGGTCAACACACAGAAAGCACATCACAAATTTACATATAAATTTATATAAACATTTTAACTTGTTAATACATAGAAGTAAGATCGCCACTCCTGTCGGTTCCAAGCTATGTCCTTCAGTGTCTCCAAACGACCACTCGCAGAATCTTTTGGACTCCTACCTGAACGACTAGAGACACATACTCTACCTAATAGCACTGTGTGTTTATTCGCACCTCGTCTTCACGTGGTATACTCTGGCCTGGAGCGACTACAGAGAACAAGACGCAGTGCGGCGGACATCAGCGGGGCATGCACAATACATGACCTAACCCACGAAGCCTACTAATATGAATTCAATGTGATGTCAAATTTATCCCCGATAAACACCCAAACGCACATCTTATCTTCAGATTACTAACCCGCTCACTTTGTCGTATGTGCACCAAACTACTTAGATACTGACCGTGGAAAATCTCTAGTCGATGGATATCTTCTACTCACTGGTTCAAGGTCTCACAATCATAAAGCAGAACTGAACTAACACAACATACATGATTTTCCATGTTCAGTGAAACGTCACGTCTACGCCATAGATCTGTCGGTTCTGCGTAAGCTGCTCGTGTCTTGTAAATACGTGTGGTTATCTCTATTGCTGCGAAACCATTACTGGCCACGCAACTAAGTAGGAGCAGCAGTTCGCTAATTAACTAATTCCTAACCATCAAATATCAGAGCTGTGGTAAACAAAACCCAGTCTGCAGCATCACTTCGCACCGAATTGGGGCTTGCTAAGCATGAGTGTAGTTGCCCAATGCACTCTCATAAGTAGAAACAATATGTCAAATACACCTAGAAGCCTTGAGTGACAGGTCTCTAAAGGTTCCCGCATTGGATCTACGCCCCACTGTCTTGTAAGTCAGATTTTTCGATCGAAGACTCCGGTTAGGGGTCCCATAGAAAAACCCCTTCGTCGATGCGGGCTACCGCGAAGTATGTTGTAGCTTATAGTCTCAGACACCCGTTTGGAAAACCCTCTTTCTCATCCGTCTAGTTCTTTCTCTCACTCTAAAGTCGTACGAGAGGCCTCCTGTTTAGGCCACCCATGGGATAACCCTGGGCGCTAAACCAGTAAGGTCATCAACCAAAATATAAAGCGTTGATAAAACCAAAATCTCCGTTTCACTCGGTTGCAATCAATGTCCGCACACTATCAGATCGGTCAACAGGCTGCCTTAGCTAGAAACCTTGAAGTTTCCGAAACACGCATACAATACCCCAGCATCCGAAAGTCGTGTTTGTTCGTGTTGGGATTGCACTAAGTGCCAAGGCTAATCACTCGCTTCTTGCCTGGATTCTAGTCAGTAGCCGACTGTGCGCTGTACGTCTCAACGGTTCGGTGAGGGTCAACAGCTATAAAATGAGGCACCGATGCTAATTCGTCGTATCCGGGTATGCACCGACTGATTACAGTGCACCTGAAATCAAGAATGAATTCTACACGGAGATCGTATTAGTAGCTGGAGACTTTGACGCTCAAGTCGGACACTTAAATGAGTCAGAAAGGTGACTAAGCGACCCATAAGCAATCCCAGCCAACCGGATGGACAACGGAGATAATCTACTTTAACTCTGCATAGACCGCAGATTGTGTGAACTGAACACCAACTTCTCACCCCAAGAAAAAAACATCGCCTCACATGGAAACCCCCTACCTTTTCACAGCGATGGACTCAAAGCGACCACACCGCCAGCAGCTTTCACTGGCAAGGATCCATCGAAGATAACTGCTCTCACTGGTCAACACCGGTGCATTCGGATCGCGCTTTGTTAGGAGCCCGATTCTCCCAACGACTGGTAAAGTACTACAAAAAAGCTGCCAGGAACGAAAACTCACAATACAATGTCAGCAATAGTTGCCAATCGGACTTCGAAACGGAACTCTCCGATCGCCTCTCAGTCGAAGTACTCAATGAACACATGACGTTAATCAAGGACACTCTCAAAGTGTAAATTAAAACAACAGCTGATTATGGGACGCGATCAAGACATAAACAATGGATCTCATCGACATCTGCCTTGCGAGACGCTAGCATAACCATTCCCCCAAATATGACTGCGCAATTCCCCCTAACCGTCCGCTCATCAACAGTCTGAGGAATGAAAGAAGTAGCGGGTAGTAATATTACGATAGATGGAAAAGGCTATGATTACCGGTAATGACGACAAGCTTTTGCGTCTAATTAAGAATATGAGCCCAAGGAAAACAGGCCTCAGGTATTTAGGGACTGACGGTCAGTCAGCAACGCTGTCCTGAACGATGGGCTAAACATTTTGATGCTCATTTTGACTGGACATAATCAACATCTAACCTACCACCTCCACCTTGACTGGACAAATACCAGTCCTCAATCTCACATGGAGGTTTCTAGGGAGATGAGTTATCTCAAAAGGTGCAAGACTTCCAGCCCAGATGGTCTGTCGCCATCGGTTTTTAAGGATGGATGTCTAGCATTGGTTTTAGAGTTGATGGAAACCATGAGTACGGTATGAGAGAGCGAACAGGTTCCAACAAAATGGTGTGAATCGGCCATCTTACCGATTTACAGGACAGATGACAGATTATCTTGTGAAAACTACAGGGGAGTTGGTTCAATCAACCTTGTCTCTAAGCTTCTCACTGGTAAACTCCACCGATTGTCTGCCGCAGATGAACGATGCACGCGTGAGAATCCAGCGGGTTTAAGAACAGGTATAGACTACATTTTCTCCCTTCGCCAAATTTTAGAATACAGACTCTCCTTTCGCAGACCCACCATTTCTATCTTCCTTGAGTTAATAGCGGTTTTCGATTCAGTTGATCTATCTTTGAAGGGTTTGCTCTCCTATTACTAATTGCCTAAACCGAGTGTGAGCTTATAGCACTCTATCGCCGAGTTCACCACAAAAAGTGGTTAGTCGGGGCTGCTCTCTCTCTCCCTCTCTTCTTTTCGAGTTAACCTCGTTCGGAATTTGGTTATAGAAACAGCCATGTCCTTGTGTGAGGATATTGGCATCTATTTACTTCTAGATGGCAGACTGCCTGCTCCACAGACGATATTATACTGCTAAGTGAAGATCCAGGTACGTTGGAAGCGTTTCTGGGTAGCTTAAGTGCTAATGTATTCATGTTCGACAAGCGTTTCGCACCCTCAAAGTGTGAAGTGTTCCTACAGAACTTCATTGGTCTAGCCCTCAACCTCACTCTAACCAGAGAAGTAATAAAAGTAGTGAACAAATTTTCCTACTTGGGCAGCCAATTCTAACCTGGTAAATGCATCACAGATGAAGTGTCGACACGCCTACAGAAAGCTCAATTGGTATTTACCAACTGGAGACATCTGTGGTGCCTTCGGGATACTTGGCTGTCTGTAAAGGGTCAAGTGCATCCTGCAGCTGTGAGACCAGTTCTGCTATACGGTGCAGAAACTTAGTCATTATGAAGACAGGATAAAGGTAGACTGTCGCTGTTCAGACACTGCTGTCTACACCGCACACATCACATTTACTTCTAAGGACATTGATAGAATTTTGTTGCAGAGGCAGCCTGTTATGCGAAAACCAGTTATATCTTTAGACAACGCCGCCTATCCGGGTCCATGTATTCAGTCAGAGACTGCCTAAACTTTCAGTGGTTAAATGATGTGGGTCCCTACCGAATTACCCAGGAGGTTGTTTGAATCCCACCACCGGCATTTTCTTAATTCATTAGGTTCAATGACATTACTTTCCTGGAAAATCGATTATAAATTTATTCAGTTTATAAGGATGTAAAAGTAATACTATTATTATTGGTAAATACCACAATGGCCGTTCTCCTCTCCGATACCTGGAAATGCGCCCAGTATTGTGCAGTCACTTTATCGTAGTTTACTGTCTACGTTCTTCGGGAGGTGCGGTTATAAAGTCTTGTAAAACATGTGCGAATCGAAATTACTGTAGTACGAGTAGTAGTAGAAGTCTTTTGCTGACGAAAAAGGTGTTTTGCGTATTGCATTGCAGTTAGCTTGTTGGTATGTCAGGTGTGGGAATTTAAAAATGAGGTAAATTGTTGGGCGGGTGGAAGTGATTTAGGGTGGTCAAACGAAGACATCACATGAGGGTATGAAAACCCTAACTAGGAGACTGGGTCACATAAGTCCGGTTAGGCTCCCTGACTGGGGACCCCGAGATCATGGTCACTAATAGTTAGAGAAAGACAACAAACAACAAAAAATATCAAAAGGTGTACGGCGAAAAGCACAAAAAATATCTCGTTATCCCAGTTTTCTACATTATTTTCTATTTTCACTGTCCACCTTCTTCCCACTTTGACCTGTATTTCAAACCACCTGTCTCATGCTATTGTCACTGTTATTATTGTTGTGGTGTTGGCACCATGCTTGTTTACAAGCCGGTGTAAAATTTTTATATATAATGCCGGGTATCTTAACAGTGGCGTTTGTGCATCTTCTCAGTTTCTCTTTATCATTAGTTCACTGAACTTTTCAATTTTCTCTTCGATCCTACTCTCATCCTTTCCTGTCTTTCTCCTAATGTTCATTCAAATGGGCAACCAAAACCGATGCACGAAAGTGTATGGTTAATGGTTGCAGGAACTGAACTAGCAGTGCTAATGATGACTATCAACGCTTTGAGCTTTCAACGCCGCACAAATTTGCTCATTGGGAGTGTCGCATGCCTCATCCCATAAGATAATTTAGTGCATATTTTCAGTTGAGGTCAAACGTGGTATAAATTGTGCCCCTTAACTGACTTTCGATCCAAATGAATCGTTCATAGAAAAATAGGGGCGGAATACCTTTAGTTTCTCAAAATCAAAGCTAAAATCAGGAGAGGATTTACAAACACATAGTGTCCCAGAACAACCTACTTCCTTCAAACAATAAATACATGCAAACTTTTTCCAACATCCAAGTATGCGGCCAGATGCTCTTCAGAGAAGT